TTTTTTTTTTAAAAAAAAAAAAAAAAAAAAAAATATTAATGGGTCAATCACGGGCCGCCACGTGTCAGTGGGGCCCGTGAATAGTGTTGATACGGGTTCAGTGGAGTGAACTTATGTGACACAGGTTCATGAGCAGCAGATTAATATATTAATTTTTTTTTTTGGGATTTGTGTGAACCCCTCCTAACATCTCTCAATGTAGTTGCTCTAATAAAATAAGATTCTCGCAATCTTGATTTGGTACGACTTTGTTGCCCTTTTGTTTTTACCACCACGAATGAGACAAAAGCTAACATCTTTTATTTCTCTAATCCAAATCAAAACACTTTAAAAGGAATTATAAAGTACTTCAAAATATTTCACATGAATTAATTAATAAAGGTTCAACACAATGTAGACAAACAGATACAGCTTATTTGAGTATTTCCACTTATTTGACGATTGACAATAGGTTAACGTGGTCGAAACTGATCAAACATTAGGGGTTTTGATATAAGCAACTTTCTTAGAGTCAGATACTTTAACCAAAGTCCCCAAGCTCATAGCTAATCCAACACTTAAACCTACTCTTATCGTAAAAATACCCCAAACATCTACAGTCTCCACTACACAAACCACGACACTTACTCTCTCCAACAGCAAGACCAACGTTATACTTAGTCACGAAATGATCAACACCACCAAGTCTATAATAACGAAACGTCTCTGGCTCACAACTCTTCACCTTCTTGACCTTACAACCCTTACTCCAGCCCAATAGGCCCAAACCCGACGGACAAGCCACACACTGATTATCCTCACAAAGCCCAAACTCTCCACATTTCGACGGTAACCAACACTCGTTGTTTCCGCGGTTAAAGAGCTCAAACGTTACTTCCCACGCAAGAAAACTAACTTTGAAATCAAAAGTGTAGATCCTTAGATTCCCATCAGCGTCAAGCCTGAGTAAACTCTGCGAGGCATTAAACCTAGCTCTCGCGAGAAACTGCTTGTAAGGAAACTCGGGCCTAAGACCAGGAGTGACTAAACCCAACTGAGTCGCGGTTCCTTGGTCTTTAACCGCGTATAATGTCGTGCTTGGAATAAAACGACCTTCTATAACGTGATAGAGAACGGTTCTGTTCTTACCCCTAGAGATTAAATGACTTAGAACGAGCCGGTTAGGCTCTAAGGTAAGAGTGTATGACCCATTATCACGGCTCACAAGCTTGTTCGAGCCATCAAGTGTAAGAGACTGGCCAACCAAGAGTGTATCTGTCGGAAAATCAAAACTCTGCCACACAGGCCATCCTCCATCATCAAACAACACAAGGTTACCGATCTCGTTCATGGTTAAACCAATAACGCCTTTGTTTTCTGTGTTTGTCTGCCAGACCACTTTACCATCTGGTTGAGCTAGAACAAGGTTTCCCTCTGGTCCGAAGGACAGAGAAGCCTCTCTCTAGTATATGATCGATCCTATTCAGAAAGCTCACATCACAATCAATCATTTTCAAGCAAATCGTAGTGGAGAAAGAAGTCTAGCCAAAAAAATCATGATTATACCATAGCAACCTGAGTACATGTTGGCGTGTTCGCAGGCTCCACAGATGCTCAATTAGCATTCCGATTTTCCCATGTAGAAGAAGCGAGAGAAGACCCGATCCATCACCAATTTTATTATTGTTATTATTATTAGTACGTGTTTTCATGAATAATGTGCAGAAAATAAAGTTACAAATTTATATAATATTTTATAAAAAATTTGTTAACTTTTTAGATTTTATTATTTACTACAGTTTAGTTTAATTTTAAATTTTAATACTAATTATATATTACAATTAAGACAAAAGAAATATTATTTATTTATATTTAATAAAATCTATATATATTAAATTATAATTTTGTCAAATTTTTATCTATTTATTTTGGTTAACATATATTAAATCAAACTTTTAAAAATTAAGAAAAAAATTGTGATCGAAAGTTTTGAGATAGAAGGGAGAAACTCCAAGATTAAGCTCTAGGAAGAACATGAAGCTTGAGATCAAATGTGTGATGAACGAAGTTAAGTTCTAGGAAGAACATGAAGCTTGAGATACGGTCCATGGCTTCTGAAGATGAGTGTAGCTTCCTCTTTTTGAGGAATCGTTCCTGCTTACCCGGAAAGGTTCCTTTTCCACCAAGAGTTGAAAGGAATAGTGATCAACCTTGTAAAAAAGGAATCAGAATTTTGCTTTGGATTTGGAAAAACTTGTCTGATTATGGTGAAGATAATCGGAGGTTCTCTATTTGGAGCTTTGCAGGATGGCTTCTTCTCGGTGTGATCTCTTTTGTGTTTGGGGTCGAAAGTGTGATGAACGAAGATTAAAATATAATTAGTTGGTTGTCCGCGAATTTGCGAAAACATATATTCTGTATATAATGTCATAAATTTTGAATAATAATTAGAAACATTAGAAATATAATCTTTAATTTAAAACAGTTTGAAAACCAGTTGCAAAATTTCTATTAGTTTGACGTAAAAGTAATTGATAAATATTTAGTATAACAAGCTTGTGGAATTATATATGTAATTATCACATTAACTTCTCTAACACATATTATGCATCTTCTTCGACTTCTTATTTTTTTGTTATCATTTCGTTCTTTTAATTAAAAATTTATGATATTTTCCTAATTTTTTACATATTTTTTGCTAATATTAATTTTCTCTCAAAATATTAATATAAACATACAATCAATGAACTAAAAATTCATCTTATAATTCTTTTCAATTATAACATTATCTTATTTAATATATTATTTGATTTAAATGTAAAACAATTTTTTAATCAAAATTAATACATATTTCGTGAAATATAAATTATCCACTCTTCGAAGCCTAATTATTTATAAAACATATATGAATATTATAAGAGATTAATAATTATTATAGATACGATTTTATTTTTATACGAATATGACATCATTATATCGATTCTATAAATTGTGCTCTACTAATTATTTTATGTAGTATATAAATATAAAAATAATTAATTAGAAATTATTACATTTCTATAATTTGACAATTAGTTACCATAAATTGTTATTTGTAATATCATTTAGAGTATTTGGAAGTTGGAACTAATTAGTTCTAGACTTATTTTTTTAGATCTAATAAAATAATGAAAAATTTAATATGTCTCAACCAATTAAATTATACCAATTTTTTTTAACCTTGGCGCTTAATCTCGTTGACTAAACTATCCATTGACTTACATGGACCTTGTTTTTCCACCATTAATCATCCTAAGATAATCGACTTACTAAAATAAGATTCTCGCAATCTTTATTTGGTACGACTTTGTTGCCCTTGATTAAACCTTCACTAATAAGACAAAAACTAATCCAAATTAAGTAGTAGTACTTTTTTTTTTATCAACAAGTAGTAGTACTTTAAATGAATTAGAAAGTACTTCAATAAATTAATTAATTGGGTTCAACCCAATATAGCCGAAGGTGTAACAAATCTGCATTCAATAGGTAGTCAATGGATACAGTTTCTTTCTCACAACAAACATTAAACTTTTGTTACAATTACAAGAATTTATTCCGACTTATTTGACAATTGAATTAGGTTAACAGGGTCGATAGAAATCAAACATTAGGGGTTTTTATATAAGCCACTTTCTTAGAGTCAGACACTTTAACTAAAGTACCAAGCTCATAGCTAATCCAACACTTAAACCTACTCTTATCATAAAAATACCCCAAACATTTACAGTCCCCGCTACACAAACCACGACACTTACTCTCTCCAACAGCAACACCAACGTTATACTTAGTCATGTAATGATCAACACCACCAAGTCTATAATAACGAAACGTCTTTGGATCACAACTCTTCACCTTCTTGACCTTACAACCCTTACTCCAGCCCAATAGGCCCAAACCCGACGGACAAGCCACACACTGATTATCCTCACAAAGCCCAAACTCTCCACATCTCGACGGTAACCAACACTCGTTGTTTCCGCGGTTAAAAAGCTCAAACGTTACTTCCCACGCAAGAAATCTAACCTTGAAATCAAAAGTGTAGATTCTAACGTTTCCATCAGCGTCAAGCCTGAGGAAACTCTGCGAGGCATTAAACCTAGCCCTAGCAAGAAACTGCTTGTAAGGAAACTCAGGCCTAAGACCAGGAGTGGCTAAACCCAACTGAGTCGCGGTTCCTTGGTCTTTAACCGCGTAGAACGTCGTGCTTGGATTAAACCGACCTTCTATAACGTTATAAACAACGGTCTTATTGTTACTCCTAGAGATTAAATGACTTAGAACGAGCCGGTTAGGCTCTAAGGTAAGAGTATATAACCCATTATCACGGCTTACAAGCTTGTTAGAGCCATTAAGTGTAAGAGACTGACCAACCAAGAGTGTATCTGTCGGAAAATCAAAACTCTGCCACACAGGCCACCCTCCATCATCAAACAACACAAGATTACCGTTCTCGTTCATGGTTAAACCAATAACGCCTTTGTTTTCTGTGTTTGTCTGCCAGATTACTCTACCATCTGGTTGAGCTAGAACAAGGTTTCCCTCTGGTCCGAAGGAGAGAGAGGCCTCTTCATGGACTGGGTTTTGAGGGTTAGCTTGCCAAATCCAACGGATGATGGAGTCAGAAGTTCCTGTTCCTATACCTATGGCGAGTGTGTATGCATTTGGCGTGGTGTTGAAGAAACATAGACGGAAGTGATTACGGATGACACCTACGTCTCTGTAGCTTGCGCCGTACTCTACTTTGGAGTATCCGAAGTCGCCGCGGTTTAGGAATTGAAGTTGCTGAGATGGATCGACTTGTGGTCGGACGAGTGAGATGAGAAGAGAAAGAGAAAGAAGAGTTAGAATATGTGATGGTAATGCCATTTTAAGGTCTTTGGATAGTAAGAAAAGGAATCAAATGTGGTGTATTTATGCTGCAAGATTTAGTAGTAAAGAAGTCAAAACCGGCTTAATTAATTAGGTCAAAGTCTCAGTGTTTATATTCTATGACAATTTGTGTGTTTGTGTAAGTTTCTTAAGCCGTACATGACGTTGTGCATGTGGTTATCATAGAGTCATAGTTTGGCTTTATTAACGTACATAATGGTTAACATGCATTTGAATTTAATACAAATGGTTCGAAGTCAATAACTTTGAGTAGCAGGCAGTAACTGATAAAGTAGATAAAGGCAGAAAACATGTTGCAGATTCATTCTCTACCAAGACTTTTGGACTAATATCGAATCAGTTTCTCATTGATGTCTCGTTTCCAAAACAAGACTAAGGTTACCATGAAAACACACAGGCTCTGTCGCTGATGTAGTCAGGAACTGGTTGACTAACAGTACTGAAAATAAGGTTAAATAAACATTATATAATATATAGTCTAAAACTCATAGATGTCGATATTGTTACAAAGCAAAAACAGAACCAAACAATGGACCATGGGGGGTTATAATTCTCTCTCAACAGATTAACAAACAAAAAAAGACTTCAATTTGAGCAGCATCCGAGTTTCTTCAAAGCAGAGACATCGTTTTTAACTTCGATTTTCTCACCTTTTGGAACAGAGCCGTTCCCATCTTCACCACCTTCCATTTGCTTCTTGCTTGTGATACGGTAAATCTGTGTCAAAACCTCTGCAAAGGCGTCCTCCACGTTGGTGGCTTCAAGTGCAGATGTTTCCATGAAGCAAAGCGATTCTTTCTCAGCATAGGATTTACCATCTTCCGTGGGAACAGCTAATAGATGACGCAGATCAGATTTGTTAGCAACGAGCATCACCACAATGTTAGGGTCTGTGTGGTTCTTGAGCTCCTTTAACCACCGGTCTACGTTCTCAAAAGTTGCACGGCGGGTAGTGTCGTATACTAAGAGTGCGCCAACTGCTCCACGGTAGTATGCACTCGTGATGGCACGGTACCTGTGACCAGAATCAAACCGATAATCAATAATAATAAACAGAGAAAATGTGATAATAAAAGCAATAGGCTTTTAACTTTCACTATCCTAATCTCTAGCCAAACCAAATCTAGATCCAAGGATGTGCATACTGATCTGATATTCAACAATTTTGCCAAAAATAGGGTTAAACAAAATAACTAACTCAAAGAAGACAGTGTAAAAAAACCGTTTCTATGGAGGCAAACCCTCCAGATCAATCCATGTATTTGCATCTTTTATTCCACATCAGCCTCCTCACTCTTATCAACAACCCAACTACTGAATAAAACATGTTCTTTGCTCCCCTTCTACAATATAGTCTCTACAGTAGTGTTCCTGATTCTAGTAATCATTAACCACATGCTCTTTTGTTCATCCATCCAAATAAAAGATCCAACTCAAGCAAATCATGAGTCAAACACAGAGACTAAGACTATTTTTCAGAAGAGAGGCTACTATTTAATCTACAGTTACATTAGACCATCTCCAATGGGGATTCTATCCCATTGGAGTTCTAAAAACATATATGTGTGTATGTATATATTATATATATGTATGTAATTGTAGGGTCCATTAAATAGTGTAGAACCTTACTCAAAAGTTCTAAAAAGTTCTATTTTTAGAACTTTTGGATAGAGTTCTACACTATTTAATGGACCCTACAATTACATACATATATATAATACATACATACACCTCCAATGGTAGTCAAATGAAGTCAACCATCCTCAAAGAAACAACATTTGACTACAAAAAAAGTCAACGGAGAGACTCTGTTCAACACATTAACTACTCCAAATCCTAAAAACTAGACCTTTCAATAATCACCATTTCTCTAAAAGGAATTCAAATAACTAATTTACCAAATAAAGATTGGGTTTTAATAGATTCAATTCCAATGTAAGGCTCATGACCTAGATCTAAGCAAAATGAGCCAATGATCTTCGAGACAAAGTTTTTTAAAAAAAGAACCTTTCTTGACCAGCAGTATCCCAAATCTGAGCCTTGATGACTTTTTCATCGACTTTCAAAGTCCGAGTTGCGAACTCGACGCCAATGGTGGATTTAGACTCGAGATTGAACTCGTTTTTCGTGAATCTGGAGAGCAGATTCGATTTTCCTACTCCGGAATCGCCTATGAGGACGACTTTGAAGAGGTAATCGTAGTCGTCTTCCACTCTGTACCCTGCCATCTTTTGCCTTCTCCTTCTCCTCAGCGATTGATCTGAAGAGAGAGAGAGACGGAGTGTGAAGGTGTAAACTGAGATTTGAAAATCAGTAGAGAAAAGTGGTGTGAGAGTTAATGTGACTGTTGGTGATGGTCTGTGATTATAATACGAGATCTGGGCCGTTGAATCTGTTGAGCGCGTAGGTGACTTGTAGGGATTACGATGGGGTTTGACGGATTTACCCTTGATGTTTAATACCATGTGGGCGGGGGATGTAACGACGTGTAAGTAAGTAATCAACTGTGTTAACAAAGTTTAGTGGTGATAAATGCCGTTTATACAATTACTGTGTGTTGCTTTTTTTTTTTTTGAGAAATTATCTGATCCACGAACTATTTTTTCTACGAGGAATATAGTGTATCATCAAATGTCTCTAAAATTATGACCCGTTCTATATATCTCCGAATCAAAAGTTCAAAATTTATTAGTGTTAATTTAAAATCATGTAAGGAGTAAAGGAATTTTGAAGAAATGGAAATATGAAAATTTTAAAAAAAATTAGAGAAATTTGATAATATATAAAAATGCATATATTGAAATGTTTTGATAAAAAAAAAGGCATATATTAAAATGTAAGAGTTAAGAATGCCCTTTGTAAAAAAAATGGTGTAAGAGTTAAGGAGGGAGTTATATGGCTAATTCAACAATCCTCAAGAAGATAACTCTCTGTTTATATCATATAAATTACTATTTACGTTTTGTAAATACCAATCAGAAGCATGTAGGGTGAGTGATTTATTAGTTTGCTGTTCTTGGAGTTATCAAAGCAGAACATATATATAGTAATTGATCATCCATCAATTGCAATTACAATCATAAACACTGTTCTGTATGTATACGAACTCACCATTTTAGTTCATATGTACCTAACCCAAATTACCAATGACCTAGATTTACTCCATTTACTCCCTCTATATATAGATCCACTCTATCATTCATCTACACAAAAAAAAAACAAAAAAAAACTCCAAAAAATAAAGCCAAAACTTTCCTTGCTTCACCAATAATTAAACCCTACTATTATAGGAAATGGCTTGTCCAAGGCTCTCCATTTTGACTATTTGCTTATTACTCTTTGTTGTAGGTTTTGTCTTGCAATCTTGTGAAGCTAGAAAGGTTTTAATGCCTTACGATGCCCGCACGGGATTGTTTCTTAGTGCCTTGCCAAAGGGTAATGTGCCACCTTCGGGTCCAAGCGACAAGGGTCACACTTCTCAGTCAAAGGACCATTTGGACAAGCATATTGTGTCGGAGATTCACCGCCAACTAGGATCGGTCCCTAGCCCCGGCGTAGGTCATTAGGCACATTGATTACAGAGTTTATACATCATACCGTACGGCGTCTTATGAAGAATGTTTGTGCATGTGTGTCTTCATATATGATCTAATACCAAGTACTGAAATAGATGTCTTTGTGAGTGTGATCGGTAATTGAGTAATAAAGAATCATTATTTTACACTTTACTTTGAGATCTGTTTTGGCATGTGCTATGGAATATGTATGTAACTACATGCTTCTTTGTCGCGTTCAAAGAGATTCAAAAACAAATAGTTATGAGCCTATAACATTATAAGTAAATATCATGATACATGAACAATTGTTTGGTGCCCACTATAATCGGGATAATGTAAATATGTTGCGTACGTAAATTAAATTCATCAGGAAGGAAGCAAAAGTTGATGAATTGACAACAATCTGTAATTATTTATGTTTTTACGTAAGATACGTCTTCCTCTATCTTGTTGACTCTTATTTCTTCTATGAATAGTTTCACAGTTTATGACAAAAGAGAAGAAAAATGAAAATGAAAATAGACATGCAATATTATAAGGAACTCCATTATTGCTCATCTCCGGGATCATACCGTTTAAGGACTAACCTTTTGTCATGAAGCTTCTTCTCTCACTTTCCTCTCTTGTATTTTCTTAATAAGTTTATTAACTAACCAACTAGTAAGATGGATCCGCGTATTACACATTATATATCTTTGAGTACTTATAGATCTATATAATTTACAAATCATCTAAATCCGAGTGTCTTCTTACATAAAACAAAACTATTAGGTATAAGTTTAGATTACATGACACGCAAATGTTATATCAATGTTGAATAAATATGTTGTCAGATAAACGTGGTTCTAACTCTGTGGAACAGACGTTTTATAATATGTGTGTTTACTTCAAAACCCTAAGCCGATTTTAAATCGGTCAGCTGGGTCATTATCACAGTCTATATAAATCTTGGTAAATTTGCATTATTCTAGATTTGGTTTTGAAACTTGTAAACCACGTTAATTTCATTATCAGCATGTGAAGCGTACCAAAGTAACTTTTATAAACATTGATGGTGCGTATTACTTAGAAGAAAACCCATTAGTTTTACTTCAGTTTCTTTTGATAATGATGTATCAATTGAATTACGACATCGGCCTGCTTGATTTGACATGACCACACACACAGCTTGATTGGTGCATATTCACACATATACATCTAAAACGGAACCGTTGTTTAGAATCTTATTTTTTGGTTGTTTTGTAGGAGATATATATGCCACGGTCATAGTTTCAGTTGAGTGGTTAGGATAAGCTGGCTCGGTATATTAATTCACCATCTAGGGATAGTTTTGATCAGGAACAAAGCTATAAATCAGTGTCTATACCTTTGTAACTTTGAATTTTTAACAGGGGTATATTTAAAAATCTGTATAAAACTACACCAAATTTACAAATTCATGGTGGGCATGTATATTTGCCACCATAAGTCCATTAAGATAACCTTAATCATGGCTTGGCTATCTATATACGCAGCACTAATTCAGACACTAGTGTAATAAATGGGTGAAACTGCATGTCGGTAGAACCATAGAAGTAGAAGTCCCAACCAAAAGTCCAAAAAATACAAAACCGTGTGCAACTCGTAGCTACTGAAAACAGCATGTAATCCGACTGGTAGTATTATAGTTTCTCATTTTAAACGACACGATGTGCTCATCTACAAATATAAGGACAGCACAACGTGTACGTAAAATGACCCCAAGTAATTTCTTAACATTTCAATACAACTTTGAGTAGTTAGTCCCCAGGTTTAGACTTAAAATACCAGCAAAAGGACGAAAACCAATCAAACTCTGAGTAGATATTTTTATTCACTTTTGTATGGTACGTAATAAAAGAAAGTAACTCTTTTTGGATTTGATTAAAAGATTATATATAGAACAGACTAAGAAGGATATCTAGAAAAATTCTCTACAATATATGCTTCACATATATATATACTGTATATAGGTGTCACATATGTGTTATATATAGTACAAAATATTCTATGAGATATTGTATAGTAAAAAAAGGTATGATCTTATCTTTAACCATAATTAGGTAGATGATGAAATTCCAAACTACCACACATTTGTGGCTCACGAGTTTCCCACTTTGAACAGACCAAACATTATGTATTGAAAAAGAAGAAATAGAGCAACCCTTGTGATTCACGAGATAACGCAAACCATTGTCTCTCATCTCTACAAATAAAAAATATCTCTTTCTCTTCTACGTGTCTACAAAATCTTTACAGCTTTGTCTCTCTCTGCTTTGTAGTAATATCCTCTCCTCAATAGATTTGTTATGTTCTTTGTTGGTTATCTAAGAAAGACAAATGGGTTGCTATAGTTCGAAAGCCAAGACAGAAGGTACTCCCTCACTTTCTCTTCTCTCTAGAGGTTAACAAAGATATCAATCGGATCAAAGTGATAGTATGATCATATGCACACACATCTTCTTCTTGATTGTTCTTAGGACATGTTTTAGGACATGTTTATTGGAGATTTTTAGAATAAGTTCTTAACTCATGATTTGACATTTTTTTATTATATTTTTTACTAAGAATCGACTATTAAATAAGAATTTTTAGAAACAGTTTATAGTTTTTATTAGTTAAAGTTAAGAAACAATTCTTAGATTATGCTAAAAACCTCATCCTAAGAACACTGCAATAAACATGGCGTAGTTTCTAGGCGTCCATTCACTGTTTAGGGCACTACATATATATAGGAGCATGTATGTGGTGTGTGATGTGATTTTGTGTGTTTTGTAGGGAGAAAGGAAAAGATTAGAAGGCCAAAATCATGGAAACATCCTCAGCCAATATCAAGAGCTGAGCTCACACAGATGCGAGAGGAGTTTTGGGACACAGCTCCTCACTATGGAGGCAAGAAAGGTGATGATCATATTAACTAAACCTGAAAATAAAACACATTCATGGATGTATATTATATGCTCTCCATTTATGCAAAGTGTTCACAACTTTGTGTTATATGTAAACAGAGATCTGGGATGCGTTAAGAGCTGCAGCAGAAGAAGAGGATTTGTCTCTTGCGCAAACCATAATCGATAGTGCCGGAGTGATTGCTCACAACACTGACCTCACCATTTGTTACGATGAGAAAGGTAAAATAAAATAAAATAAATCTAATTTTTCTATAAAAGGGTTATTGGTTTAGTAGTTGAGGTGTTACTTGAATTTTTGCAGGTTCCAAATATGAATTGCCTAAATATGTTCTAAGGGATCCTTCAAACTTGATCAGAACAAAATAAAGTAAGAAGAAGATAGGAGACAAGCTCGTTTGTGTATGTTTGTTTGTCATCCAAGGAATCATGAATCATGTGTGTTTTAAGTTAGTTATGTGGTTATCTTTGCTTGGATTTGTCATTTGCTGTCAGGAGTGACATGGATGATATTACAAGCGTCCAAAGAATTCTTCATAGTTTTTTTTCACTTTACATAAAGAAGCAACTTTGATCAATATAATAGTATGAGTCTCTTTACCTAATTACCATCATCTTAACAATAATTGTAATTTACTTATTTCTCTTGTTTCTCTATATTCGCTAGCTCCTCTCTTTTTGTGTAATTTGATATTGAATAATAACACAATTTAGAAGTATAAACTCTGCACCGAATTAAGACAGATTATACAGTTCAAACGAAGATAACATAACAAACCATTTCATTATTTACCTGGCTACCTCCAAAGAGACGCATTAATACGACACCAAGCAATTGTGGAAAGCAATTATATTTATGTTCTTTATTCATTTTTTATATCGATTAAGAAAACAAGAAAAGAAAGGATATATTTATGAAAATTATAGACATCTCTTGAGAATATGGTGTATGTTTAATCTTGAAATGATATTGGTTAGCTTCACATAGTATTTAACAAAGGAAACTACAACACTCTTATTGTTTATACACACAAATATTTGTTATTGTATGTCAAAAAGGATTAGTGATTAATCTCTAGTTTATAATATTTTTCTTATATACAAAAGCACCCAAATAAAACTTATTAACAAGATTCAAACTGCACTTACTACACCTTCTTCTACCTCATCTACACATCTCTAATGATCAAGTGAGCTCCATGTTGTGGGAATGTAGTTGCAGCTGGGAAAGGAGCATGTGTATACGATGGAGAGAGCTCTACACTAAACCTTTGAAGAGCCGTTGCTACAAAGAGCTTAGCTTGTAACATAGAAAAGTTTTGGCCAGTACATGTCCTAGGTCCCGAGCTAAACGGGAAGAAAGAGTCTTCCTTTAATTTGGTTGCGCTTGCAACGCCATTGATGCAATCTCTCAGGCTTGAACTGTTTCACATCGTCTTCCCAAATATCAGGATCATGGTGCACCAAGATCATTGGTATAGTGATCACAACTCCTTCGGCTTGATTTGTGTTGCCATTCTTGGTTTGGGCTCAGAGAAACAAGTGTCCAAAAAAATAAGGAAGCAATCACGTTTTGACCAGCTAGATATAAAGAAAGCCTAACAGTCATCTATCGTCAAGACTCAGACCTGAATCTGGTCCTTGTTCTTTTACTTGCTTTGTATTTGAGTCCAACATGGAGCGCAACAAGTCGCTGTTCTTGTCCGTAGTTCTTCCTCTTTTTATCTCCTTCTCTTTTGTCACAATCATAGCTTTAAACATAGTCCTCATGTCTTTTTCAGTTTCTCTCAACCTCTTTGTTGAACTTAGTCGGCAAAAATCTGTACAATGGTATTCAGATTTATGGCTCAGAAAGACGGAGACTGGTTTCTTGTTACTACTGATGACTTATCGAGGATGAACAAAAATGCAACAGTGTCTGGAAAACGATAGATAAACCATCTTCAATCTTATTTTCTTGCAAATAACTTAAAACTCATATCTTTGTATTAAGTTTACATCTTTTTTTTTGGTCTTTCTTCAAGCACAACGAACATAATAATACAAGACGAAATGTTTGCCGACACCTATACAAACGTTCTTGACTTGACCACAAAGATAAATTTTGATTGATCACCAGTCTTCTGCTCCTTTAGTTACACCAAGGACCACAGCGATCGTTGCGAGAATAGCCTGCAAGCGTTTTCAACACATGAATCAATCATTTTGATCCATGCAATCCAAGGACAAACATGAAAAATGTGAGATAGTATTGACTATTGAGTAACTTACAGCGATGGTGCAAGCAATGTATCCTGGCTTCTCCCTGTGGTCGATCCTCCTTCCAACTATCATGATGAACATTCCGATATACCAAGGAATTGCTCCAAGGAAAAACCCAACGATGAACCTTCAACAATATCAAAAACACAAAACTTTATGAGATACAGAGCAAATATAAGCAAGTGAAGATAGAGTAGCGGCCACGTGAAGAGAGAGAGAGGGAGAGATTCAAGACAAATGGGAACTTACAGAAACCATCCAAGACCAATTCCACAGCAAGGAAGGCGGCGTTGTCGCACATGCACAGGTCTTCCTTCAGCAATTCCATGTACTGAAAAACAGAGAACAACCAGATATGTTAAACATAAGAACCAATGCCTCTTCATCCGATTCATGCTCTCGCTTTAGACTTGAACAAGAAGAAGAGAGAATGAGACATGACACAACAACGTACTTTACAGACTATATATAACACAAACCAAAACAATTAACCACTGCTAGAACCTAAAGCTCCATTAACTTTAAAATCTAAGTCGCCCAAAATGTTTTATCATACAAACCCTAAATTCAAGACAAAGCTCCAAACTTTAAAATCTTTTCGCTCAAATTGTTTATCATACAAACCCTAACTACTAGCCAAAGCTCCAAACTTTAAAACATTTTGCTCCAATGATCATTCAAACCCTAAATTATAGGCAAAGCCCCAAACTTTAAAATTACCGTTCAAACCGTTGATCACACAAACCCTAAATTAGTTTCCACTGCGAACAAAAACACAATCTCGACATCAAATCATCACAAAACAAACTCCCCAGTTGAAAAACCATTTACAATCGTCACTAGAATTCCAAACCTAAATCCCCAAAAACTGAATCATCACATCGAAATTCAGCAAAGAGAGAAGCTATACCCGGAACGGTTTGATAACCATGTGCGTAATTAGGAGGACCGGGGGGATCGTAAACTCCAGGAGGAGCAGAAGGTTGAGGAAAGCCAGTAACCGGAGGAGAATTCTGCGGCGGTGGTGGCCGGGGAGGAGGATAATTGGAAACACCTTGAAACGTACCGTATTGATGATGATGGTGCTGGGTACCTGCTTCATCAGCGAAGCCTTTGCTTATGTCTTCTTCTCCTCCTTGACCCATCTTTTAGCTTCTCTTCCTTTTTCGTCTCGATCGCTCTCTCTGACTTCAAATCGAGATGGAGATTTTTGGAAACGCGTTGAAATTATGGAAGAAGAAGTCTATTTCGATTTCTTTTTAATTTATTTGATTTGTTGCTCAAAAGAAATTAATTTATTTGATTTTGGACCCGAGATAATGTGTGGGTTTTGATTTGGGCCCAGAGTTATTGTTATGTGTTTTTACAACCACCGACTGCAATGTTTGACTAAAGTGTTTAATTAGTACGATTAATTAGTGTTTTTAAAAAGTTTGGAAAATCAGGTTAAGAGACAAGTGGCGGTGGGTGTTATCAATTATCGAAAGCTTTGGGGTTCGTGGGAAGGAAATGATTATGAAATTAGCTAATTGCTCTTTGATCATTGAAGCTTCAAAATGGTTTCTTATCCATCTAACTGATCAATATCAATAAATGATTTATGTGACCAATTATTTGTTTATATAATTAGTGAAAATAATACTACTACAAAATTGGAGAAAATTTAGAAATCTGCATGTATAAGTAACTCATTTTCTTGTTTTTTTGTTAATTAGTGTTTTTATAGTCAATCAACTTCATTGTTAAGCTTTATATACTTTCTCTGCTATTTTCCCGTCTAAAAGTGGAGCCTTTGGCCCTTTGCCTTTAATTGAAAAATAGACTTTGAAAAGTTAACTATGATAAGAAATTAAGAACTATTAAATTCAAAGTTCCAAGAAAAAACAATATGAAATTAAGAAGAAAAATTTTCAGTTTTTTTGGCAAAGAAGAAGAAGAAATTCAGTACAGAGCATGTATCAAAACATAGTGAATTATAAGTATATAGAGAGTATAATACATATATACATATACGTTAAGACTATTTCTCTTGTGATACACAATGAAAATGAAAATATTCTGGATTTTTCTATGGATGTGATACTCCTACTTTCAAGTCTCAACCTTGGTATTGAACCATTTACAAGTATCAATGATCAAAAGAAAAATTGCAAAACAGGATATTGTGTAATGAAAATAGAAACTAAAGTTTCTTCAACAAGTACAAATATCCTGGGAGCAATCTTGTCCACCACAATCATCACCATCTACGGACTCAGAGAATCCTTGGTTACTTGGGACTGAAATGATTATTACCTTCTCATCATCTGGTTTACCTTCTTCTCGTTCAATAAGATTCTTCCTGAGGCCACTCAAATCCTGGTTTGTCTCTCTCACAAAGCTATCAAGAATGGAGAAGCAAGTGAAACAAGAAAACACTAGATTGATAGCAAACAAGGCGATGCAGAAGCTCACGACAATACAAGTGTAAGTATCCATTGGTTTTGGAAACTGATCATGTTGGTTGGCTTGTAAAAGCCAGAATCAATTATATTGTCCCTTCTAAGAAGTAACAAGAAAGCCTATAAATCTGAAAATGTTGGGTGTGTTTACATCTCTTTTATAAGAAGGAAACTATAATATAATATTTTCGGGTCTGCGGTGGAGAATATTTATCAACGGATAAAGGTGGTAAGCAGGACAAAAACATGTCTCTTTCTTTCCTTTTCACCAAATCTGTTGGTTTCCCACCAACTTGATCTTTGGTCGGAACCATATCTCCAAAAACAGGCCTAGAAACATGTAACAAGTAGATTATTTCTTCTACTAGTGAAGAAGATTGCATGCTTGAAGAAAGATCAATATCTTCCAAAGTACTTCTTACCGACTAGAAAAGAAAAGAAATCATGTTTTAAGAAAAAAAAAATTATATACTTTCCTACACATTTCTATATTCTAAAGAGCTTCAAGCACAGGGATAACAACTATTGTGTTTTCAGATAGTGACTTGCGTTTGCACTTTATTTGGTTTTCACCTGCACATAACTCATCAGAGTTTGGTAATAACATCTGAAGAGATAATCACCATAGATATCTACATCAAGAAAAGCATTACAACTCCATTTTAACAGGAGTTTATTTAGCTTGTGGCAATCTGAATTGGCAAACTATGAAACTAGACTTGTTCTTCCACTTATCTGATTCACAGATTAATTTATCAGATTACACAGTGGCGGAGTATAACTCACCGTTAGATAAAAAAAAGATACAGTAAGAAGAACATGGTAAAATGAGCAGTTTTGTTCATAAAGACCTGAACCAAAAATAGATATATCATAAAGACAAAAAAAAAATTGGATTAGGGAACTTGAGTTAAGTATCCCTAAAGAGATCTAAACATATTTAAAAATCATGGGAGGTTCAAAACAGAATCCTCTCTACTCTCTTCTACTACTACTACAACTACAACTACCAGTTCTGTTCATAACTGTAAGTTTGATCCTGACAGTTAAACCCTGGGTTAGTCTCATAGTTTACATACATACTCTGCTGGTAATAATCCTGGGATGAGTCCATCACGACCGTGTTGTTGTGATTTGTTTCTTCCTCCACGAAATACCGGGTTTCTGTTTTGGTACCTGAGAACATTCTGCAGGCGACAGTGTTGTGTGACGATGGCTTCACATTGTGGTTTAGGTTGTTGAAGATGGAGAAAGGAGAGGAAGGGTCCAAGACGTTGCAACCATCTGTGTAGTCTACGGTGCTGAAAGAGTCTCTGGTTGATTCTGTGGTGAACGAAGCTTCGTCTGAGCTCGTGAAGAGAGACCACTCGCTTGATGTTGACTCTGCCTTGTTGTGGTCTGCTCTTGGTTTGAAGCGATTAACCGGTCTCCTCTGTTCCTTCATCTCGTCTCTTGGTTGTGAATGCCGAACCTGAGCTTTTCCGTTGTGTTCTCCTCTTTGAGGACGCGGATACGATCTGCAAAAAGATTGTATTCTCAGAATCTGTGACCCCAAAATGAAGAACTGGTATTTCTTACCTCATGTAGAACAACATATAAGCTCCTTCAGACATAACTTGAGTCATTGGCACTTGATGAATCTGCAGAGTTTTTTAAAAGAAAATTACAGAAGTTCAGAAACTGCATTAAGAAAAAGGAGGAGAAGGCATATTAGTTTGTACCTCGGAATCATCAATTCTGAACCAATTGCCTCTCAAGTCTTTGACATAGGAGATGTAATGACCTGAGAAAGATGCGTTGAGAGTATCCAGGTGAACTATAACAGCATAAAGCATATAAAGAGGAGGAACATCTCCTGTTCTTGTCATGAAAGGTATCATATCCAGCATTTCAGGAAAGCTTATACATTTGTTTATTTTCCCATATCTTCCTTCCTACATACACAAGAGTTTTAAATGTAAATAGTGAAAGCCAATAAGTGAAATTAGTAGTAAGTAACTGATACCTGGAATCTCTTGAGAACAATTGTGAGAATGTTTGGTGCTTCATGAATGCTCAGTTCTTTCCTTGCTTTTACATATCCAGCGCACCTTTTTTTAAATATAGTTTTCACAAAAGAGATGATTTAGTTTCAATACCACAGAAGAAGAACAAGCAATTTGGAGTATGGATCTAACCTGCTGCATCTGTACATGTTTTCTCCATCTAGATCTTCTGGTCGAGTAAACTGAGTCAGAGCATCTTGAAGAGATTCTACCCATCCGTATATCTCTAGTGTGAGATCCATTATGTTCTCGTATCTCTCTGATTCATGACCACACCTCAAGCATTTCACCTGGTTTTCAGAGAAAGAAAGCAACAGAAACAGTGAGAATGTGTGAAAGTTAAAATCAAAGTAGACATACATCAAATAAAACCTAAGAGATTCAAACACCTTTGAGCGGAGACGTCCACCAAACATATGTTGAACTAATGTTGTTTCTTGCAGTCTTGGATCTACTTTAGTCTCACCTCCAAGTCTCTCCAAACATATGGATTGCATAGACGCAACCAAAAGCCTACATTGAAATTAAATGGTCAAATATAACCGCATTAAGAAGAAAGGATCCATCAAATTCAAATTTGAAAGGACTAGAAAGTAAAACCTTAAGAACTCATGAGCATCTTCTTGACTCCCATCACCAATCTGACAATTTATACTTCGCATATGTGAGAGAATTCTGCTCGCAGAAAGTGGACCTCCAGATTCTCTAAGCATCATTACATGTTGCTCAAGTTCACACATAAGGCACCAATCCTTCCCAGAACCTATTCAGAAAGAGTAACATTATATTTTTCAGAAGTGGTAAAACTAAACCTGTAACAATTTATGCTACAGGATAAATTTGGAAAAGATTGGGAAAAGCATTACAAGATCTTGAATGTGATCGTTGAAGCAAATAAGCAACAAGTGGTTTTGTACATGTTAAGGACTGCAAGACAGCGTTTGCATAGCAACTGGAGAAGCAAAAGGATAGCAAATTAAGAACGCATATGGGCATTTACACAAAATGAATCTTGCCCAATTTTGCCGTTAAAAGATTGAAAAAGAAGTAACTGATACAATACCTATTTCCACAATTTACGAGGCCCCTTGGTGATAAGTAAAACACCTCACACTGAAAGAACTTAACAAATTCCTCGTATGGAAAAAGCATCTGTAAAAATGAGAGAAATTGACTCAGTAAAGTAGGGGAAAAAGGATAAACAATGAGACAATTATATCGACAGGGGGAACTAACTTTCAGGTTTTTAAGTCGATCATCATGCTTTGTAGAGTTTCTTAAACCCATCATTTTCATTAAACCCATGGTTGAGGAGATGCCATTGCTTTCTTCAGCAATGCATGTATCCTTAGACCTAACAGTCCCTGGATTATAGATATAAACGTGAGACATTACTACAAAAGAATTCTTGTTACAAAGCAAGATCCCAGAGACACTTACTTGATACTGCAGCGACTTGTCCCTTCTTACTTGTCTCTGTGCATGATTGTTCTCCAGATTTACGAAGTGAAGCAGCTCTGGTCCCTGTTTAATTCAATCCACATTAGAAGATGCAAATCTCAAACTCTATTAGCCTCAACTGTAATAACTTTTATTAGCTTGTGGAATTATGACTCACCGTTTGCAGGAAATTGTGCGTTTGGACAACCAAAAGAGCTTCTTGTTCCCAAATTGCTTTCACAAGTTTCTTGCATACCACTTACAAAACTTTGTCCATTCATTTGCATACAAGAGTTATCAAGAGAATGCCTTCTAAAATTTGTTTCCATAGCAGCGATGTTGCTTCTCGACTACAAACACAGTCACTAGGTTTAAATTTCAAGAACCATGAAGACCTTTAGCAAGACAGAACAACTTTTTTGGCTAATTATTACAGAGATATGAAAAATGTTTAAGAACAGCTTACCTTATGTCTAGTGTGACCCTTCTTGTTATCCCCACCAGCACATGCATCTTCACCACTAAATGATTCTCGGTTGGACTTGGAAGAATCTGGTTTTCCTAGGCTTTTTCTCCCTTGTGTGTTGACTTGTGGTGTAGACATACCCAAGCTTTCAAATTCTACAGAGCTTTTCGAAGTCTTTCCCTTCGCTTTCTGCTTAGTACTGTTACTATACATTGTAGAATCCATGTCTTGGTCATGCAAAACAGAATCATTCTCAAAGGAAGCCCTCTCAGATGAAGAAGAGCAAGTCTCCACTGGGATACATTCATCTTTATGAACTAACCTCCAGTGAATTATTTGGCACTGCCCAGAACTGCAAACGTCAAAAATCAAGTCCTTAATGATTTATAATGGTTGCAACAGTTATATCTCTTAAATTTATATGAAATCAAAACGGGAGGTGGAAATATACCAGTATCTAACAGATTTGCATCTCGAGCAGCGTGTCTTAGCTGGATTAAAACACCTTGCACATACATGAAACTCATTATTAATAGGGACTACAGATGTAGCAGCCACAGAATCAAATCTCTGCTCAGCGACAATCCCACTCGCACCAGCCACAAAACCAGCTCTCACAGCACCACTTGCAGCAGGAACGGCCTTGGTATGGGTTCTTAGACCCCTATTCTCAGTAGCCACAGCCTCAAATCTTACACCCCTATTCACATTAACTTCAGTCTCAGCTCTTAACGCTTCTTCAGCTGCCATCTGAGCCAGCAAGTTAGCTCTCCCTCTCTTTTCAGAACTATCACTCCATTTTCCTAATAATATGTAAGCTACTACAGGAAATACAACCAAAACCAAGAACAGTAAAGGTATGTCCGCTCCCCTTGGTTCAAGCATGTCCCTAGCCACGCATTCATGACCCGGTTAACAGCTTGTGAGAGTCTCTCTTCAAACTCCAAGAGTTCATACAGCCATAAATCTCCTAAAAATCACTCTTATGAGACGCACCAAGATCTTATCTCCAGGTTCAGGCTACTTAATCTCCCAAGATGGACAGCACTGCAAGTAAATACACCAACTGAATCAGTTCATTTTCTACTCATTACTCCATCATAGAAACAAACATTTATCACAGAACACTAAAGAGTTTCATAGATTGATTCCCAGGCATGAAACCACAATCAAACCGTTATAAAGGGCTTAGATGAAGCATGAAACCATCTGATCTACAGATTCAATTAACTCCCAAGTGCCCTCTAATCTATAAAATCGAAGAAACCCCCAAAAATAGAATAAAGCATCTCACTGAAGAACCCATTTTTCTAAATCTGAAGCAAAAATGGGTATCAAAAGTAAGAAATGAGCACGAAAGATCCTAACTTTCAGACACTAGACAACTTCATAGCTGGAGGGAAACACTCGCGATCCAACGAAAGAAGCTAAAAATCATAAGAACCCTAAACACATTATCCCACGAAACAGCTCAAAATCACTCTCAAGCAGAGACGGATCTAACTATAAAGCCTCCATTTCTCTACCAATCTAAGACTCAAGCACCCACTAACCCATTATTACAGTAGCTCAACAAGAAATTTTGACAAAAGACTAAAGCTTAGAAACGCTCCAACATACAGAAAAAAAGAAGGAAAGAGTTGAGCTTTGCAAGATTTTGAGCATTACCTTATTTAGAGAAATGAAGGAAAACCCTAATTTCACCCTTATCTTCTGCCCCTTTCTCTTATTTTCTGCCCCTTTTTCTCTTTGTCTTCTTCTTTGTGAGCTCGAGAAAAGATGCTTTGATTCCTCGAATGGGTAACTCACAAAACAGTTTCTTTGTCTTTCTCTCTCTCTCTTTCTTCTCACACTCTTCGCATACTCTGTCTCTCTCCGTCCTGTGAAGGCTGCTGTTAAAGAAAAAAATATAATAATTTACTAGTAGATAAATAAAGTAATATTTAGGGCTAATTTGAGACAGTTAATGTCCAGAATATTTCTTTATCATGTCAGGATTGGATTTAAATATTACGTAACCACAATTACAGAAAGTGAAATTAGACTTCCCTTGTCCTAACAATACATGTCACATTAGATTTGCTAATTAATATGATTACCTTTATACTTTTTTGCCAGGAATACGTAAGCTCTAAAAAGGGAATGAAAATGACTTGTTGTTGAATGATCTAAAACTCTATCCGACGGTCATAAGTTCACTTCACTTAAAAATATCAACAAAATAATTTAAGAGAAAAATTATATATATGTCAGAAATGTTATAACTTATAAACGAATGTCAAATTAAAAAAATGAATGATAGAACAAATTTCCTTCAAACCAATAATAAAACATTTATCCTATGTTATTGTATTAGTCTTTGGCTAATGATTTTATTGGTAGATAAATTAATCAAGCTCATCCAACGTGGTATGTCTGTTATTCGCTATAGGTCACTCTCATTTTCAATCAACTTAATTATTTAAAAGTTAAGGTAATTGGGCTTGATCCAGTTATCTTAGCCCGAAATTAAAACATAGCCCGTTAACTCGAGCCCACAATCGGATCTCTAATAGTTTTGCAAGGCCTTGCATCTCACTTGTGCCCTTTCTTCTTCCACAAGTCACCAAACATCTTCATCCATGAACTCTTCCTCTTCCCACTTCCAAGTCCATGATCAGTATCATCATCCATGAATCCAACCACCGCACTCGGGTCAATCAACCCACCACCTGCAAAACACTTGTCTGCTGACCTAGACCGATCTTGACCGTTTCATCTCACACTCTCCAGAGAGAACAGCATCAGCAGCCTTCCTCCACTGCTCGGTTTGAACCCTGAGCCTCTGCATCGCAGACTCTAAAGCGTCTTTTGCTTCCTCCATGTACTCAAGCTTCTATTTTAAGTGAGCGGTCTTTGCTCTGCTTTTTTCCAACTCTTCTCCAATCCGACTCACCTCTAGAGCCATCTCATCTTCATTAGCTTTCACGTTAAACATCTCACTTAACTGTTTCTTTAAGCTCACGTTTTCTTTGCCTAGTGATTCATGTTCTTTCTCCATATCATAGAGTCTAGCTTTCAACATTTTGATCTCATCTCCCTTTGTTATCAATTTCTCATCTTCTACTACATGAATCTCAAACACATCACTCTCTTTATCCACATCACCGGGGATCTCGTCTCTATCTATTGCTTCTGCCTCAGAAGCAGAACCCTCCACTCGACACATAGGGTTTGGTTTTATAGATTTATTATCATGAATCAAATCATACAAAAAAAAAATCAAAGATTAAATGTAGTGAAAATATATACCCTTGTCTTAGCATTTTTTATTTTCGGCTGAGGGTTTAACTAAAAAGTAGCAGGACGCCCAAAGGTTTGTGAAATTGATATGAAAATCTGAAGCACAAATAAAAAGCAGAATGTCATTTACTACATCAACTATCAAAGCCATAACTCATGTCATGTCCGGGGAAAGGTAAGAAAAAAAGAATTGAAACTTACCTTTGAATTTGAATCTCAGGAGGTGACTTAGAGAAAATATGGAAATAGTAAAAAAAAATAATGTAAATTATATATGAAAGAAAAGATAAAGAGCATCGTTGGATGATTGTGAATTAATTGGAACAATGACGTAAAACCAGAAGAAGACCCACGTTGACTACTGACAGCTTCATACACTCTCAGAAATCAAGAAGCCTAGAGAGAGGTAAATGTGTTTAGATTCGAAATAAAGCTGTAGGTGTGAAATGGGAGGTAGTGAGATTTTAAAATCGAGGAACCATTTGGGTCACGGTTGAGGCTTTTGATCCTAGGTTCAACCAAGAACAGCTTGGCGTTCTTGTTCAAGGCCGAATAGTTTAGGTTGAATTAAACAGGGTCTTTTTAACTCGTCCCAAAATCAAATTTAATTTCCGTCTCGGTGTTCTGCTCTGTTATTCTCTTGTTTAGATTTATCATTTCTGTATTTCTAAAATATATACAAGACTTTAAATAATATTGTATAACAGTTTCACAATACATGAAAATTTAGATTCATACAAAAATAAAAACACATCGTACGAGTCATATTCAAAAATGTAAATAATATAATTAACGGTTCAAAAATAAAATAAAACTATTTAGTAGAAATTATAAAATCATTGTGTTTACAAATTTTATATCAAATATTTATTTAATATATACAGTTAAAATGTTAAAAATATATACTATCACTTATAGAAGATAAGTATATTTTGTTTTATAAAAATAAATATGAAAATCCATGCGAGTTAACCGGTCGTTTCTAATTTAAAAAATAAAACAAAATACAAATTTAAGGTTGTTTTAAGTTTTGTCTTTGAAACCCCAACTGCACAAACTATTTATGATAAACAAATCCTAATTTAGTTTACAAAAAAAAAACAAATCTTGTTTATCATTAAATATGATCAAACAGAAATGATTTGATAAAATAAAATTTGAAGTTGGGAGTCTTGGGACTTCAATATTTTTATGAGTAAGTGATATATATATATATATATATGATATCTTTTTCACAAAAATATTATTTAATGATAAAATATATTGATATTTTTTTAATGTATAATTATTGAAGTAAAACTAATTTACATAAAAAAGAGATGGAGTATTTGTTTTTTTTTTTGTCCGTTGATGAAAAGCTAACTAACTTGAACAAAAACGAAAATGCAACATATATTAAATATTGGAACGTGGTCTGAGAGAGTATTAGGTAAGATTATAAAGTATTTAGAAACAAAAAGTATTAGGTGAGACTCAGCCCCTTTTAACCTTTTTGTAATGTTATAAGGTTCTTAGATTATATTTATGATTTACTTAAGACACGTGAAATTGATTTAAAAGTTATTACATGAGTGATTTTGTTTATAAATAGGCTACTCTTGTGTGTCAATGTGTTATATACAAGGGGTTATATATAAAAAAGTTGTACATTTTTTGCAGTATCAGTATATTTCATATAAATAAGTGTAGAGATAACAATACTTATCCGATACATCAAAAATCAAGTAGCTTCAATTGGTGACAATTTCATTGAATAGAAAAATTAATAAAATAATAAATAAAAATTTAACTCAGGAAATGAATAAAAATATATGAATTAGTATTCAATTCTTCTCATAATTCTTTTTCCTACATAAAAGAACTAGAGGAATAGAGTGGGATCTATAATTTGACAGAAAATTTAGTATGAGTAGTATGAAAACTGAGGAATAAAAATTTCACCATCATTTTTTATAAATTGTGGTTATCAATTGAAGCCTACAGATTTTTGAAAAAGATTTAAATGTAAAATAGTCTTTATCATTACATTTAATTTATTGATTTATGTTTATGCTATTGTTGTTATGTATCATTCAATTTAAAATTTTATATTGCACAATGTTGCTAAAGCCAAAGCTTTAACAAAATCAGAATTAAAATTAAAATTTTGCCGACTGAAGTATACTAATATTTTTCAATTATTCTCAACTTTTTTTTTGGCTGAACCGTATAACAAATTTCTTCAAGTACAGAATAACAGAATTAAACAGCCCATGCGCTGGAATAGCAATAAGAAAAGACCCAGATTAGTACTAGTACCACGTTATGATTTAATACCAAATCAATGGTTTAATTATCATAATATAAGTCAAACTTTACAGCCTTGCTTTAAGCAACTGAAAAAAGAATAAAATACAATCCCGATATTAAAAAATCTCAAAAATGCAGTGATATCTCCTTCAAAATCGAGATTTTAGTTGATAGAGAATATTTAATAGATCAAATCTCGATCCAAATAGTTAGAAATATTAAAAATTCATAATTAAGATCATGGCGTAAACGTGAACATCTACCGCCACATGTTTTTATAAGGGAAAGATATTTTTCAAAGAAAAAAATATTGAATAATTAATAATTATATGATGTTACGTGTAGTTTCGTGGTTATCCTATAAAAATCAGAGAACCAATCTTCTTCATATCTTCATATCTACATTTTCAAGAAAGACAATAAGTGCAAAGTTGTAAACAGTTGTTGATCTAAAGAAAATGGCGGACGAAGTGAGTCTTCTTGATTATTGGCCAAGCATGTTCGGTATGAGGACGAAGATGGCTTTGGCTGAGAAAGGAGTGGCTTATGAGTACGTGGAGACAGATCCATGGGTTAAGACTCCTTTACTCATCGAGATGAATCCAATTCACAAGAAGATTCCGGTTCTCATCCACAAAGGTAAACCGATCTGTGAATCTCTTATCCAGCTTGAGTACATCGATGAGGTTTGGTCTGGTACGTACCCAATGCTCCCCTCTGATCCTTACCAGAAGGCCCAAGCTAGGTTTTGGGCTGATTTCATTGACAAAAAGGTAAACTCTCCTCCTTTGTGTTACATGTTTGGTTCTGGTTTAGCCCTAATGAAACATTGATCCCGGTTTCCAAATATATTGGAAATGTGAATTTTTTTATTATAATTTTTTGATCAGATTTAGCTAAATAGAATAGAAGTTTAGTTTATTTTTATTTTATTTTTTTCTGTAACTTTATAAAAAAAATAGAAGTTTAGTTTTTTTTTTTTATCAAGAAGTTTAGTTTATATTATTTCTTTTTTGATGTGATGTCTAAAAGAATCAAGAACTTGTAATTTTCTCCAAAAATGATGATTATTAATGACTTTGGTTGATTCTTGTTGTGTGTGAACGTTTAGTTTTATGACCCATCATGGAAAGTATGGGGAACAAAGGGAGAAGACCAAGTTGCAGCGAAGAAAGAGCTGCTTGAGCATTTCAAGACACTTGAAACAGAGCTTGGAGACAAGACTTACTACGGTGGGGAAGTGTTTGGGTTCGTAGACATTGCGTTGATGGGTTATTACAGCTGGTTCAAAGCAATGGAGAAGTTTGGTGAGTTCAGTATCGAAACAGAGTTCCCAAAATTGAATGAGTGGACCAAGAGGTGTTTAAAGAGAGAGAGCGTGGTTAAGGCAATTGCTGATTCTGATAAGATCATTGAGTATGCTTATGCTCTAAGGAAGAAGTTTGGAGCCGAGTAGAGATGCTTTTGATGTTTACCGAACTTGGTATGAACACACATAAGATGGTTCGGTATCATGTTCTGTTCTTATGCTAAATTTGTACTGTTTTCTTTCTCCTGTATTTTCTTTGTTTGTGTACTTTCTAGTTTCTAAAAGCATGAAAATCCATAATAAATAAATGTTTGAACTGATGAATATCTAAATTTCGTCACCAAATCAAGAAAACCGATTTAAAATTCTGAATGACTTATGATTTTATTGAATTGGTTTTTTGGTTATATGTTCGATAAATGAAAAAATTGAACCCATAAAATATAATAATCAAAATATGCAAGATTTATTTATTCAAGTAAAAGAACACAAAAATCATTACACAAATTTTTAAAAAATATATTTGTAAAACCTTTTTTGCACAAAAAGTAAATATATCTGTAAAACTTTTTTTTTTATCAAGATATATTTGTAAAACTGAAACAAGACAAACCAGCTCACGAGCCATACATATTCGTCCAGAGTACTTGTTCTTCCTTTCATGCCCAACACGCAAATAATTTGTATATTTGATATTTTTTTCTCTATCAATTATGTCAATATAATCTGACACTGACACCCCATAGCCAATAATTGATTCATTTCCAATTACAATACACAGTCGAATTTGACAAGTCAATTACTTGTTCTGCTATTTATAATGGAATATTAATATTTATTAATTAACAACAACACACGGCAAGCTGTTTTGATGTTTAAACAATTTCTTCCCATTTTATCAAAAAAAAAAAACCATTTGTTCCCAATATTTATCAGATAATGGTAAACATTTTAAATGTTATATGGCTTATGCTGTTAACAATGCCTATGCTTATGGAAATTGGAGCCAGAGGAAAAAAAAACTTTGCAGCCAGAGTATTTATTTGTTCCACCAAAAAGCACAGCGGCCTATGATTCATAGTTGGTTGCTTTAATTAAGGGGAATTGGATTGTATGACATAGAAAAAAACCATAATTCACTGCCTAACTATTTTACCTAATATTTCTATACACACTGTTAACTTTATAAATTAATACTATATTACCCCTTGTTGCAACCGGGAAAACCTGAAACCAAAAAAATAAATTCTTAATTATTATCCAAAAAAAAATTGTGTCTCTCGATGTTAAAAAAAGAAAAAAAAATTGTATCTCCATAATCGTCACCTCCCCCGAGATTTACTTTGAAATCGTCGATGATAGAAAAACATGACATGCCGCCGTCTTCAAAAGGTGAAAAAAATATATTATTGTGTCAATGGAGGAGAGGTTTTGTGGAGGAGGAGATTGGTTAGGAGGCTTTGTCGGTGATCGAAAGGAGAAGCTTCTCAGATTCCAAAAGTGACAATCGCGAAGACCCAGAACATGTACGTATCTGGTTTGAAGTAAATCTATGTAAATCTAGATTGAATCAAATATATGTCGTATGTAGGAGAAGATGAACAGTGTTTCATATGTTCTATTCTATTATATGCATATAGAATAGAAAGATAATTATCATCATATTCTATTCCATTTGACGGTTACTAAAAGTGTTCATTTTATTCATAAATATAGTTTGTAATTTTCTTAAATTCTAATTGTTGCTATATGTTTTTGAACCTGTAAAAATAGTACTATGGTCTATATTGTATAGTTTAATATTTCGTTTTCTGGTTTAACTTTTGGTTCAGGGTTAACTTATTAGAGATTAGGGTATAGTGTTTAGTGGTTATGTTGGGTTTAGGGTTAACATATTCGAGATTAGGGTTTAGTATCCAAATGTGAATTCAGTGGAAATAGATCGCCCGATATAGCGTTTAAGGTTTAGGGTTTAGTATCCAAGTAGATTGTTCGCCACAGGGTTTGAACCCAGTGGAATAGATCGACTGATATAGCAGAAGACATGTACCATACTGGATAATATACTCATTTGTATGGAATAGTTAAAGAATGGAATGGAATTTAATTTTTGTTTAGGGGTTAATCGCCAATGTATTAGGGTTTATATTTTCTTAATTTTTGTTTACTGATTAGCGTCCATACCCTTTTAAATGACAATTTATGGGGTTTATACAAGAGTGGGAGATTAAGGTGAGAAAATGAAAAAGATTATCATAAGGAAGGGGTTAATCGGCAATGGATTGGGGTTTATATTTTCTTAATTTTTGTTTAGTGATTACCTCCTAATTTTTGTTTATGGAATAGGAATATACCGTATGGAATAGATCGACCGATATAGCTGGAGACATGTACCATACTGGATAATATATTCATTTGTATGGAATAGTTAAAGAATGGAATGGAATTTAATTTTGGTTTAGGGGTTAATCGCCAATGTATTAGGGTTTATATTTCTTAATTTTCGTTTAGTGATTAGCGTCCATACCCTTTTAAATGACATTTTATGGGGTTTATACAAAAGTATGAGATTAAGGTGAGAAAATGAAAAAGGTTATCATAAGGAAGGGGTAATCGGCAATGGATTGGGGTTTATATTTTCTTAATTTTTGTTTAGTGATTACCGTTCATAGCATTTTAAATGGGGTTTATATTTTGATAGCATTTTAACATAAGAAAGGGGTTAATCTGCAATGTACTAATGTTTATATTTTCTTAATTGTTGTTAGTTATTTTCTTAATTATCTTTTAAATGGCAATTTATGGGATTTATACAAAAAAAAAGTAAATGAGGCATTAAAAGAAAGATATTAATGTGAGAAAGAAAAAGATTAACCTAATTCCTAACCCACCTACTAATACTGTATGTCGTAAGCCTACTTAATAGAATAACGGAATGGAACATATGAATATAAAAACGGAATGGAAGAGATGACCTATGTAGAATGGAACAAAATTAGTTACCAATCCCCTTTCGATTTGACATGAAATGGTAATTATACAATTGTACTATTCCACTTTAGATAGTATCAATTGCTTGTCTGTTCCGCTTGGATCTGTTTCCATTTAAATTGTTGACCATTAGGTTATCCCCTTCAACAATGATATTGTAAAGGGAGTTTGTAATAAGAATAAATCTAACGTGTTTTTTTTTTCTCCTTACAAAATGTATTGTTCGTGATAAATATTAGCCATACTTCCCTTTTGACAACGTCATCTTATTATCTCTCCTTCACCTTCTACTTGTACGATAGAGGGCTGAAACCGGATAATTGTGAGCTTAATTGTTACTTTCTTTATTATGTCAAAATCAATGTCATACACCTAATTTCCTCTCCAATCTTAGCTATTTCACAAATTAACCCTTTAATTAATGGGGTCAACAAACCAAGTAACCATAATATACTATGGAAAACATAGCCACACTAGTACTTACTCGATCTATACATCTACTCTCTCTACAAAGAAACAACTGTTCCATGATGTAGTGTCGGTCACGAGATTGTAACAGCTCCAAAATTTAGTTTTCTGTAAACATGGTTTAAGTTTTTGAACATATATAAACGAAAAAATCTTTACTTCAAAGTTCAAACCTAGCTAGGACTCTTTGATATAAATGCTAAACGGTTTCCTAACTCAGTCCATAGACAATATAGTAAGAAACGTAACTATGATTTTCTGTTAACAATCTTGAGATTGAAGCGACAAACGACGTCAAAATAAAAGAGACGGATAACAATCTTTATTTAATAGAATTTTCTTATAACGTCGTATCTACACAAAATATTACAGTGAATTGATTATAGAGCGGTGTACTAATCTATATTATAATAGTACACTTTCTATGTTCCACAACGCGCCACGTCAGCAGTAGGTATTTTTAAAAAACCTATAGTCTTGGTAAGATGATTACAAACAATGAAATACACTTTAGTCAAGTGGTATAAGTGGTTTAATTAAACATACAAGATCGTGGGTTCAAACCACGTAGCCATCATTTATTTTATTTTTTTATTATTTGGGTTATTATCATATGGGCTTTTTGTTTGTAAGGTTTTTATGTTTTTTTTATGGCTTAAAGATCAAAATAGTTGGATAAACCCTAAAGCTTAACGAGTTCAAACAAAAAATAGTTAAAAATGGATGCAAAAACGAACAATAAAAAAACAAAAAAAAAAAGTCTCACGCGGTTGCCTACGCGGATGGTTTTTAAAGAGCCTTAAAACTATCCTATTATAATATAGTTCAACCCAAAAATAATAAAAAATGAATCCAAAAACGAACCGACCAAAAAAAAAAGTGAATCCCACGCGGCTACCTACGTAGATGGCTTAATGAGGCTTGAATAGTATAGATTAAGAGCTCAAAAAGTGAAATCATTGCACATATTTCCTAATATATATTTTCAAAAAATTTGTATGTGAGATAAAATAAAAAACAACAAAAATTAAT